TGTGTGGATCAGATTCAGTGACTATCTGCCTTGGGGCTCCTGACAGTGGTTTGTGCTAGCACTGACGTGAGGATGGTTGAATGAATTCAAAATTACTACAAATTAGCGATATTTTCTGTTCTTTAAATTTTATTTAAGTTTTACAAATATTGATCAGCTCTCAGTTTTATTTCAATTTCATCTGTAGGCTGCTGATGCATGTCCACAAACAACACAACTTGAAGGATTAGATTTCACTTACATGTAAGACATCAGGTTTTGATTTGTGTCAATTACATTTTCATTACTCCGCCGATGTTGTATGTGTGTTTGATGTGGTTGTCCTCTAGTTTCCCTTTGAAAAGTAGCGGCCTTCAGTCCAGATTTATATTTTTTGTGTGTGAAAGCACTTCACTTGCATCTTATATAGATTACTGCGTGTTTAAAGTGCAGTGAAAGATAATTACAATCATACAAGAAAATCACTTAATCCTCAGTTGAGAGAATCTTTGAATTTTCGGTTCACAAAAATGTTTGACATGTAATTGGATGATAAAATGAGTGTAAATTGGACTTGGTGACAAAAAACAAAGTTCAGATTCCTTGAAACTTCCTTGAAGTCTGCTGGAGACTTTTCCTGTAATTGTCAGAAAATAGATCTGATTTTTTAAAAGAGATCGGAATTGCTAATACATAGATAGGAGAAATAGAGAAAAGCTATTTGTTGAACATCTGTCTACGTCATGTGTTGAGTCAGGTGATGAAACTGCCAGAAACTGATGAATATTGATTTTGATACAATTTTAACAGATGTAGAATTTTATCCAGCTTACATGTGTATTTCATGGGATTATCTGTAGAAAACGAGTCTGAATAGAAAAGTATTTCCTTTTGAAAATAAGGAAAATATACTTTACATCTTATACCCAAACATTGATAAAAAAAGTGTTTACTTTTTAAATGGCAGTGTTTAAAGGTACACTCCTCTTCAGACAAATAGGTAGGGATTGCCATTTTTCTGATAATTTGACCCCAGTTATCCATATATGTCTTCTCGGGAAAGGGGTAGCCTCATGGTTAAAGCATTCACTCCTTACGCCAAAGACCTGAGTTTGATTCCCCACATGGGTACAATGTGTGAAGTTCATTTCTGGTGTCCCCCGCTGTGATATAACTGGAATATTGCTAAAGCGGTGTAAAAAATACTCACTCACATGTCTTCTCACTTGGACTTCCTAGTTAACCTCAGTTATCCATACAGGTCTTGCTCAGGGGACTGCTGATGTGGTCCCATTTATCCATTGTGTACATGGTCCTCCTCAGCAACTGAAATACAGATGATATTATAATTAAGAGACAAACATGAACATAAGTAACTGTATAATGATGTTAAGATACATTGGTGGGTGTATTTACTTCCAGACAGCTGAATATGAAGGAACATTCAGAAATACCCCGAGGCACCATCGAATGATTTCCAACACAATGACTGCCCTGAATTTTTGCTATGTCGAACATTAACATAAAATTGATATACAGTCATGCCCCTGACACTAAATCATAAACACAACCCCATTCATAAGAACATATTACTGACGTTTGAATAGTCTTATTATTTTATAGACTAAGGTTACTGAAAACATAAACCTTGGTTAAATTTTGTAAGGAAGAGAATTTATGGATGTCAACTTCTTTATCATGAGGAACACAACATTTCGGAGTACATGCTTACTCCTTCATCAGGTGATGGAGCCATGAGGCAGAGAGCATATATATATATGTCAGGACAACAATATTAATAAGATAACAAGAGGTGGAAACTAACAAGAGGTGGAAACTAACAAGGGTAGCCAACAGATGATTGGCGCTGATAGGTGAAACGTTGTGTTCCTCATAATAAAGAAGTTGACATCCATAAATTCTCTTCCTTATGTGTATCACTTCTAAATGCCTTTCAAAGACCTATAATTTGTAGTTATGTTCTTATTCATGTTTTGAAAAATATCACAATTTATGTTAAACTTGACAGTGAATGCAGTTGATTCTGCACTTTAGTGCATATGTTGCAGAGACAATAATCTGCTAAAAGGATGCAGTTAACAGGGTACTATTGTTATGGTCTAGAACATTGTGAAATTTCATTAAATTAAGTGATGAGATATACCCAAACGGAGGCCTACCAAACATTGAGGCTTTATGTGAATCCATCCATTGAGAGTTAATGCACACACATGCCTTGAATAGTTAGTTTAAAACAATAAAAGTTGATTTACATGCCTCCTACCTCACATTTTTAATGGAAATCTAATAATCAGTTTACCATGACCTTTCCTGTACTTGGTGACGTAATGCTGTAATTCTCTCTCTGTTATTATGTAAGTCTTCATCAAAATATGTACATGTAGAATGTCCCTGACTCCTGCGTACTAGATCAGACCGGAACGCTAGGAACGCCAAGAACGCGGAACATAGCAGGAGATCATTGGTCGACAATTATCCTCAGCTTTCAGTGGCTGTTTACAGAAATGGCCTATAATTGTGGGCTTGATGGTGTTAATGTTATCAGGCTAAGGAAGCAGGAATATTGGAAATCTGAAGCCACCAGGATAAATTCAACACAAGCTAAACATTGTTAGGATAATTTCATTGTAGAACAAATATGGAGTGATTGAGTTAGGTTTAACAGCACTTGGAACAGTATTTCAGTTTTATCATGTTGTGACAGCTTGATTATAGGTTCCTGGCATGCCTAAGGGACACAACTCTGTACAGCGAGTCCCTAGTTTACATGAAAATGATAGACCAAGCATTCTATTAGCGCATAAAAATATGCGCCATTTATCTTAATTTTCTAATCCAATGAATAATTCTTTTACTTTGGTATATTTTCAATAACAAAATATATTAATGATTTAATATTTGAAATAGTTTTGTCTGTGAATTCCTCGGCAATCACCACCATCTTTGAGTGAGACCACACATGCCTTATGGGCAGAGCGCTCACCCTAACACCAACATTATGGCTAAGCTGGGCGAGATTTCCTGATAAAGTGAGTATTGAGGTGTCCTATTAGCAGCGCCCCCTCCAGAAATACTCTGCTGGCCTGGAATTAGTGGAATAGAGTCTGTCTCTTCAGTTCTTCCATAAGCTTAATTTGTTTCCTTGTCATAGAGGATTTGTTTTGTAAGGAGGGTAAGTCAAACAGATTAACATCCTATATTTTTATGGGATCCTTTCACTTTTCATTGACACAAGATAACTTGAGAATATGGAATGTTTTTGAAGACAAATTTGAAGATTAACTGGTATGGCGTCTTAGGATACAAATAGATATATTGATAAAACATATTCTGTTTATATTTTTTATGTGTTATACAACTTAACCAAAATATTCACCAAAAGAACCTACCATATTTTCCTGAGTATAGTTCGCACTTTTTTTCCCCAAAACAGAGCTGTGTTTTTCAGCACCTGTTGGTTTACTGGAATTTGCTGAAGGAGTACAGTGTAATTTTTTTCTGCGCATAATATTAGAATATTTTGTTTTCCAAAATACTGAATCCACTAGAGGGGAGTACACATTATACTTGGGTGTGCACTATACTCAAGAAAAAAAAGTATGAATTTAACCGGTTATATAGATTCAAGATTTACTTCACAATTAAGGTTCAAAAGTGTATTATGCTTGTCTTAGGTTTCTTATGAAAAGCTTAAAAAATGTTTTTGATGAATTATAGGTCAATTAGCCATGGGAGTTTCAGGGGTAGATGCCATTGGTTATATTCAACAAGGCCACAGCTCATTTCGGACTAGTGGTTTATGTAAAGTAACTCTTTGGGAGACAAAACAAATAGCCCTCCAGGTTTTCACTAGCCTCAAGCTCACAGACTGGAGGCCATGTCTGTCTCTGGAGTCGATTTTCGTGTTTTGAGATAATCATTTTAAACAATTTTCCATCAAAATTCTGTATAGATATTTGATTTTTAGGAATAGGAATACCGTATTCGACGTAAAAAGCATCATGCTCTAATAAGCGCCCACAGCGAGATTCAATAATATATTGGCTAGTGAACAATCCGAAATAGCACCCCTTCCAATTGATCAATGTACACAAGACTTATTTATTTGTGTATAATGCGCACTCATGTGTTATATGCACCCTAAATTATGGGCAATTAAATTCTGGAAAAATATATCTGTTGTGTATAATCACAAAGACTTTTCTTTTGTATCATTTCAGGCTGTCAGCATAAACCTCAAAATTTACGATTTTTTAACTCTGTTTTTTTCCACCAAAATAATATTCTAATAAGAGCCCCCTATTTCTAATTATGAGAGCGCCTTGGGTGCTTATAACATCAAATACAGTATGTGAATTATTGAGTTGAGATTACGGCAGATATATTTCTGGTTTTGTTTTTTCAAGCATGACACACTCATGGAAACAGATATAGGTCCTCGGTCACACCTACCCAAACAAATAAACCTGAAGACATACCATGTAAACACCTTTATCATTCTGGGCAAAATTGCTTGTACAATATTCAAAATGATATTCCTTCACTGTCATAGATGAGTTTCAAAAATTGTAAATGTGTTTTAAGAGAGATTTCCTGTGAAAGATAAAAAATATTTACCACCAATTGAATTTCAGGTCAATGAACCCCTTCAGTTCATGCTGGCAGTCAGCCAGAGTAATACAATTCCTCAAGTCTCTGGAACAGAAATGAACAATTAAGATAAAAAAAGGTACATTTAAAAAAAAAATATTCAACTTATTTTGGTCCTATAATTTGGTCTTTCTATCTGACTATACTTTCTAAATATCAAAATACACTAATCAAAATTACATGACTCTTTTCTTCCGTGCAGCCTTGCAGCAAGGCTACCAAGGGAAGAGATGTGTAGATCTATCATTATCATTTGAAAAGGCCTGTTTTAGATAAGATCGAATGTGTCAATCCCCCCACAATGATTCTCATGGGAAGGTGTCAGGGAGGGGAAGGTGTCAGGGAGGGGAATGTGTCAGGGAGGGGAAGGTGTCATGGAGGGGAAGGTGTCAGGGAGGGGAATGTGTCAGGGAGAAGAAGGTGTCGGGGAGGGGAAGGTGTCGGGGGAGGGAAGGTGTCAGGGAGGGGAAGGTGTCGGTGTCGGGGAGGTGTCGGGGAAGGGAAGGTGTCGGGGAAGGGAAGATGTCGGGGAGGGGAAGGTGTCGGGGAAGGGAAGGTGTCGGGGAGGGAAAGGTGTCGGGGAGGGGAAGGTGTCGGGGAAGGTTAGGTTCAGGGAGGGGAAGGTGTCGGGGAGGGGAAGGTGTCGGGGAGGGGAAGGTGTCATGGAGGGGAAGGTGTCAGGGAGGGGAAGGTGTCGGGGAAGGGAAGGTGTCGGGGAGGGGAAGGTGTGGAGGGGAAGAAACTGAAGGAAGAATTGGGGTTTATGTCTGACAAGTTTGCCTGCAAGTGGTCAAACAGAATGATAGGAAGCCATGTCTCTGACTGAATAAGAATGTGTTTAAAGTGAGGTGGCACATGGTCCTGTATACAGTGCACAGGTTACATATCCATATCAGGCGAAGCAGTGTCACGGAGAGTAGACAAAAGGGTGACTGAGTCTTAGACGAACATCTAGTCTCTGAAATGAACATATTTTACAGATAAACACAGTAATTAGATTATAGTTATAAAAATATCCCAGAGACTATTCATTTTTAGATACTGCTGTAATCTTACATTATAGACTTGCATGGGCTGTATTGGATATATTTGTTTCAGGGTCTGTATGACCACAGGAGTGAGTGAGTGAGTGAGGTTTTACGCTGCTTGTAGCAATATTCCAGCAATATCACGGCAGGGGACACCAGAAATGGGCTTCACACATTGTACCCATGTCAGGAATCAAACCCAGGTCTTTGGCGTGATGAGCGAACGCTTTAACCACTAGGCTACCCAACCGCCCCTGTGACCACAGGACTATGTATCTAATAATAATAAAAAACAAACTCGTAAAAGCTCGTAGACGAGTCTAAAGGCTGCCTCACATGCGAGTTTGTTTGTTATAATTATTAGTTACATGGTACGGTGGATGACAGACTAACTGTGCCTGGCAACATGGCTGTTTACTCAGAGCCAGCTAATCCTGCATTTCACTCTCGTGGCTGTTCTCCGACTTCTTTTAGAGACAAAGGTAGAAATGTATTTAGTTCTGCTGTTTACGGCAATATCTGTCAGCAGGGTGCTTTACCGGCGTGTTGTGTTTGACAGGGGGCCAGGTGGGTAATGGTGATTTACCCGAAACACATTGGAAGTGGTACCATTCAGCGTTATACATAGCCAAGTGTTGAGGAACATCTCATTGTTACCTTCCTTGTGTGGAGGTCAGGTTTGTGTTTTGGAAGCCATGTGTGCAAACTTGGTGCAGCTAACTCAAGAGGAGAGAGATGATGTCAGCAGTATTCATAGGGCTAGTTGACATTCAGATGTTACCAGTATTCATAGGGCTAGTTGACATTCAGATGTTACCAGTATTCATAGGGCTAGTTGACATTCAGATATTACCAGTATTCATAGGGCTAGTTGACATTCAGATGTTACCAGTATTCATAGGGCTAGTTGACATTCAGATGTTACCAGTATTCATAGGGCTAGTTGATATTCAGATGTTACCAGTATTCATAAGGCTAGTTGACATTCAGATGTTAGCAGTATTCATAGGGCTAGTTGACATTCAGATGTTACCAGTATTCATAGGGTTAGTTGAAATTTGGATATTACCAGTATTCATAAGGCTAGTTGACATTCAGATATTACCAGTATTCATAGGGCAAGGTGACATTTAGATGTTACCAGTATTCATAGGGCTAGTTGACATTCAGATGTTACCAGTATTCATAGGGCTAATTGACATTCAGATATTACCAGTATTCATAGGGCTAATTGACATTCAGATATTACCAGTATTCATAGGCCTAGTTGACATTCAGATGTTACCAGTATTCATAGGGCTAGCTGACATTCAGATATTACCAGTATTCATAGGGCTAGTTGACATTTAGATGTTACCAGTATTCATAGGGCTAGTTGACATTCAGATGTTACCAGTATTCACAGGGCAAGTTGACATTCATATATTACCAGTATTCATAGGCCTAGTTGACAGTCAGATGTTACCAGTATTCATAGAGCTAGTTGACATTCAGATGTTAGCAGTATTCATAGGGCTAGTTGACATTCAGATATTACCAGTATTCACAGGCCTAGTTGACATTCAGATGTTACCAGTATTCATAGGGCTAGCTGACATTCAGATGCTCGGGTAGCCTAGTGGTTAAAGCATTCGCTCGTCACGCCGAAGATCCGGGTTCGATTCCTGACATGGACACAATGTGTGAAGCCCATTTCTGGTGTCCCCCGCTGTGATATTGCTGGAATAGTGCTAAAAGCGGCGTAAAACCATACTCACTCACTCACTCACTCACTCACTCACTCACTCACTCACTCACTCACTCACTCTTAATTTGTTCTCTAAAGGTGGTACAGTTGCTAGGGGATAACTTTAAGAGACTGAGGAGAAGTGAGTAGCCTTGCTCCAAGTCTGTACACAATGATAAGTCCATCGGTGTGTAGGAATTCCATCCTTATAATAGGCAAGTCTAGATAGGTAAACACCAGTCTCTTATAGGGGCAACTTGTTCTTATTATTTATATAATCAAGAAATTATAATTTGAACTAATTATTATTGCCTTAGAGACTTGTGCATGTCCAAGTAGCAAGCTGCTGAATGACATTTTCTGCTCTCCCGTCACCGTGGTCTCCCTGTAGAGCATCCAGGACGCAGGCTCCAGTCTGCGGTTCCGTCCGAGGGGAATACCTCATCAGTATCTGTCTGGAATTGCTGAATCAGCACCTAGAGAGCATTCATTTGGCTCAAATACTGTATATATTTGTTTGGCTTATGCTGTATTAGTTTGTTGTTTTACTGTTCTGAAAGACAGACGTGTGTGTATTTTCGTGAAAATTGAGACCAGTGTATGTATATTGTATTGAAAATTAGGTTTGCTTCATTATACACAAAACAGAAAAAGTGTATTCAAACTTGAATGATGGCATTAAATCCTTGACTATTCCTGTACAATTCCGACACAAGACTATTCTCCTCCAATTCTCCAAATCCCAGATACTTGCATGGTGTATCACATCTTCCAGTTTTGTTTCCCAAGTCAGCAGGCTGATTATAGGTCTCAGCCCACAGCATAGAGATCACTATCTGTAGATTCATGCTTGGACAGTTGAGGTGTATACCACAGGGGTCTTCTGCCGAGTCAGCTCAAATAGAATCTTTGATTGGGAAGAAGCTGATCATGGTGTTTGAAGCTGAAGCGCTCTGCTGCTTGTTATCCTGGCTGGAGGGACTTCTATATGCAGCAAAGAGGATGAGGAGCAGACTGGCTTCAAATATCACCAGCTAACATGGATAATCTTATCTGATATGTTCCCTATGAATGTTAAACATTTGCCAAAGGCTGTCCAGATCCTGTAGTGGTTGATGTGAGCATGAAACAGGCTGGGGAGGAGTTATTGTGATGGAATAGCAATGTTAGGGAGGGGATATTGTGATGGAATAGCAATGTTAGGGAGGGGTTATTGTGATGGAATAGCAATGTTAGGGAGGGGATATTGTGATGGAATAGCAATCTTAGGGAGGGGATATTGTGATGGAATATCAAATTTGAGGAGGTTTTTTGGTGATGGGACACAAGGTTGGTGTGAGAGGACAATTTGTGTCAAGATTGGTGTGAGAGAATGATATGTGTCAAGATTGGCGTGCGAGGATGATATGTTGGTTGTTAAACGCCACACTCAGCAATATTCCAGCTATATGACGGCGGTCTGTAAATAATCGAGTCTGGACCAGACAATCCAGTGATTGATATCATGAGCATCGATCCACGCAATTGGGATCGATGATTTAAGTCAGCGAGCCTGACTACCCAATCTCGGGATGATATGTGTCAAGATTGGTGTGAGAGGATTACAATCTCCCTGGTCTTTCTTGGTTATACGTCAGGTTGGTGTGGGATGAATCATGGACAGCTCCTCTGAATGGCACTGTAGTTCAGACACAGCACTGTGTCATCATTGGTCAGACACAGCACTGTCATCATTGGTCAGACACAGCACTGTGTCATCATTGTCAAACACAGCACTGTCATCATGGGACATAGAGCATGGGGCATAGGGCATGGGACATAGGGCATAGAGCATGGTACATAGAGCATAGGGCAAAGAGCATGGGACATAGAGCATAGGGCATAGAGCATAGAGCATGGGACAAACAGCATAGAGCATGGGGCATAGAGCATTGGACATAGAGCATAGGACACAGAGCATGGGACATAGAGCATAGAGCATGGGACATAGAGCATAGGGCATAGAGCATGGGACATAGAGCATAGGGCATAGAGCATGGGGCATAGAGCATAGGGCATAGAGCATGGGGCATTGGGCATTGAACATTGGGCATAGAGCATGGGGCATAGAGCTTGGAGCATCATTTTGAGCATGGGGCATCGTGTTGTAAGGTAATATAATGATACCCTGCCGACTTACAACTGAGCCTCTCTGTCCCCCCTTTTCTCCATGTAGTCTGATGTCTGACTGGTATATTTGTACAAGGAGCTGTGTAATTGTCCTGGTTTCTGACCCCACACTCAACAAACCCCCCTTGTTTGACCATTACAGTAGTGGGGGCTTGACCAACAAGGAAGAAATCACACCTGGATTACAAGTCAGAGTTGGAGCCATGATGTTTTACTGAAAGTGACAAAAGTGACAAAAGTGACAAAACGCTAATCTTGTGATTGTCAGTGACGTTGGTTTATGCACATATAAAAACAAGGGTTTTACACCTGTGCATCCAGAGGGGGATGCACGCGCCTTTCCAAAATTCGATGCACCCCTTTATCTTGCAAATCTGTGCACCCCCTTTCCCAAAATCAGTGCATCCCCTTTCTAAAAATCAGTGCACCCCCTTTCTAAAAATCAGTGCACCCCTTCGCTTTTGAAATCTGTGCACCCTATAACCATGCATACATCTGTGCACCCTATTTTCAAAGAACTGTATCCATGCATGGCTACCCCTCTGCCAGTGTCAGTACATATGTGTAATCCAGAGTACGTCAGGACTGGATAGAGCCAGGTATCGAATACAGATCTGACTGAGACTGATGGTACGTTACTAGCCCGTACTGTTGTACCGGTAATATGTGTGGTAGATGTACCATGTGGCGTGTAAATATGAATTAAGACCAGTAGATCTTCACTCCAGCAGCACAAGTGTAAACAGGCTTCAATGAAGTCATGTCACTTTTAGAATGTTGGCAAGTGATTTAAAACTTCCCTGTGGGAAATCAGCTCATTGAT